ACCTCTGATTGCTGAATAACTTGCCTTGGAGTGGGCGAGGGGACAGCTAAGATAACTTCTTTCTCACGTTTGTTTTTTGTGGAGCTTTTTGTTGGCAAAAGCTGGGAATTAAACCCCACATGACAGCCAGAGATCTTTCACTAAACTAACAGAAAAGGCACCGGTAGCTGCCCCTGAAGAGAGACCACAAGGAGCATCCAGGGCAGCCTTTGGAGGGAGCCCTTGGAGAAGAAGACAACGCTTTTCTTGATCTAGGGTAGTGGTAGAGAAATTGTCTTCTTACAAAGAACTCAGAAAGACCAGGAAAGACAGGAAATAATGTTTTGACCTTGTAGATTCCTATTTGCAATCTCTGGGTTGATTTTGTGAATCACATGTAGATGTTTGCACGCCTAATAGAGCTAATGTTGCCCCCTGTGGTACCCTTAAAAGATTTCATAACACCCTAGTTGAGAATCACTCATCTAGGGAAACACTTTGTCACGCTACCTGTGAGCTACCTACGGGCCTCTGTGCTACAGGACAGCGTGTGACATTCAAGGAAGGATTGTATTAAGGAGCATACCCCAAGTTCTTGTCCTCACCAAAGGTATTAAGCCTTCTGCCTCAGGGCCTAAGCCTACTGAAGACCAGGATGGAGCTCTTGCTGGGGGCAGATCATCCCACCTTCACGCTTTTGGGCTTCTTTCAACCTTGTCTGAAGCTTGTGGAGCTGGTCACTGCAAGAGAGAAGTCCCTGGAAAAGGGACATAGCCACAGTGTTCCCCCAACTCTGTGACTGCCCTTCTGGACTCATCACTCTGCCATGCCAGCTCTCCACAAACCACTCCCACGCTGTGTCCCAGAGCCCTGCCCCTCCAAGACACCCATTGTTCTCAAATCTCCCATCAGCAAGTACCCCCAAATACCCCAAAAGGCCCTAAACCCTGGCAGTTCCTAGGCTGCTGGACTACATCCTGAAGTCCCTTCCAGCCCTCCTCTTCTATGATTCTAAAGGGCAGTTACTTTTTGCTTCATCAACTGGAAGTCAAATCTGGGTCCACTTCTTGGAAAGCAACTAAGTTCCTCACTATTCCACCCATACGCCTGCAGAAAGTTTCTGCCCATTGGCCCTTGCATGAGAGCAAATCAGTGATACTGCTGTGGATCTAACACATGTGGCAATGAGATGGGGAATGGTGTGGGAGGAGCACCTCAGCTTGGAGAAGAGTCCGAATCCAGTAGTGACTCAAACCAGAAAAAAATTCCCCTGTAAATGCTTCCTATCCGTCATGTTCCTCCACACACTGATTGCATCTGCCCCAGCAGAAAGGATCCCACCCAGAAATCTCCTTCCCCTGTATGGGCTGCACAGGCTAGAGTGTCAAGGAGGTTCATCCCCTTTTTTAGCCACACCTGGACTTGAAGAAGCCTTGCACCTTTGGAATCAGCCCCCAACACCTTTGCTATTTGTTCTGTGTTTCCATCACATGAGAGAACATACCCGTGAGATCTAAGCCTTCAGCTTGCAATGAGACAATTTACTGCTCACTGATTTGCACTGAGAAACATGCATTTTTGCATTAAAACACTCAGGGGCTGGGGCTGGGGTGGGGGATGTGAGTTCAGGCCTCCATACAGACTCAAAGCTGAGCTCATGGGGTTAGAGTTGTGGCGGTTTCAGCCAAAGGGCCAAACCTCCTGGGTTGCAGTGAGGGAAACCCTGAAATGAGACTTTCATCCTGAATTTGAAAAAAAAAAATCCAGATTGCTTTCATGCTCATCCTGCTCAGGCCTGGGATTTGCGAGCGGTGGAATTGCTCAGCCCCCAAAACTGATCAGCTAGTGTCACAGTCAGTGGTGTGAGACGTCTGGGACTGTGTCCCAGATTCTCCTCTCCGAGAACCAGTGCCTGTATCGTTCAAGGATGCTGAGAAAGGGGTAGTGGGACTGAAACTGGGCAAGGTAGCACACCTTGTAGTTCAGCAGTGAGGCTCCCTCCCCCAGTGCTTGCATATATCAGAGTTGGTGTATGGAGAGGATGTGGCCAGATACTTAAACTCAGGAGGAAAATGTATCACAGTCCCCACTGCCCAAGAGCCTTCTCCCCAGCCCACTCTAAGAACCACAGCCCCCCCCCCGGACTCTCCTACAAAGTTTGCCCTAGGTGCCAACTCTGCTTGTTACACCTCTGGGAGGTATGGACACATCCTGCCCACAGGGTGCTGACTGTTCTAGATAGGTCCCAATACCATGCATAGTATTTGAGTGGCTCTTGGGTGGTGGGGACTATGATACATGGCCTTGCCCCACTTGGGGGCACTAGCTGCAGGAAATAAATAGCGACTCTATTCACTCTACCACACCAGAACCATCAGGGACCTCAGCAGAAGAAAGCTGTTGCTTATTTGAAATGCTATCAAAGCAAGACTTTATTCTGTGGCCAGCAGATGAAGTTCCCTGACACAGAATTCACAGCAAGGTCCACTACTGACATATAATGGAAAGAACAGCCAGAGTCACAAGAGAAACATCAGCTCTGCACCCAACTCCCGTCCTGAAAGAAGGGCAAAAGCCACTCCCCCAAACTGTCTGGTGTTAAGTAGAAACTTACCACATTAGCTAGTCACTTCAGGCCATTGCAAGGAGACAAAAGAAGGGATAGAGTTGCCCATCAAGTTGATGGATGGGTGTCTGGCAGTCTAGATTCCTGGGTATTACATCCAGTAAAGAAGCTTATCAGGGGAGATGTCTAACCACTGTGATACTGCAGTGATACTGCAGGCAAGGGAAGGGAGGGGAGAGCAGAGCAGGTCACAGCACCAGAGCTGGGAGCAGAACCATACATCCTGGCTAGCAAAGCTCCCTTCCTTGACCCAAAAGACCTCAGGCATTCTGCCCTTGCTTAGAGAGTGCTGGTGGCATATTTCACCCTGACAGCCCCAATGGCCTCCACGCCTCTGTCCAGGCTGTAGGCAGAGGGGGACCTCCCTGGACCCACCCGTCCTCCACTCAGCAGCTGCTTGGTGATGCACTGGAAGGCAGGGACAGAGTGGTAGTGGCGGACTTGCAGCTCTTTGGTAGTGCAGAAGATGGGGGTGAGGAGGCCACGGCGGACCTGCAGCTCCTTGGTGGTGCAGAAGGTGGGGGCAGGGTGATCATAAAGGATCTGCAGCTCCTTTGTGACGCAGAAGTGGGGGGGACTCCTGGGGCTCCTGAGATGCATCACAGGGGATGCATCCCACCTCTCCTGCCCAAGCAGCTGGTAGTGCACTCTCTGCATCCATGGGGAGGCTCTTGGGGTTGGCTGTTTCCAGACCAGACATAACCAGGCCAGCCACCCGAGCAGAACCAGTGTAGGCAGCACCAGCAGCACCAAAGAGGCAAGGTAGAGCACCAGGTGGAGCAGGCAGCAGTGAGCCAGTACCCAGTGCCCCCATGAGCGGCCTTTTCCACCCAGGTGATGGCCCATGCTAGGCAGCTTGGCCGGGGAGGTGAGACATGAACAAACAGGGGGAGCCCTTGGAGGAGGGGATGGCTGGTGATGGGGCACATGTGGGAGAGGGCTGGGTGGGGTGGGTTTAAAGGTGAGAGGAGGCACATGGGAGCTGAGAGATGAGATAATAGTAGTAATAGTGGAAGTCCCTGGGGTATTGGGGGCAGGGGGTGAAGAGGAGGTGGAAGCCATGGTTATGGAGGGGGCACTGCTGGGAGGCACAAGAGTATGGTGCTCAGTGGTAGTAGTGGGGGGTACAGGGGTACTAGTAAGGGAAATGGGCATACTAGCAGGGGCTTCATGGGTACCAGTAAGGGGAACAGTGGTACTAGTGGAAGGCACAGGAGTACTAGTGGAGGGTACAGGGGTCCTAGTGTGGGGCAGAGGACTGGTTGAGGCCATGGTGGCAAAGGGGACATTAATGGGGGACACGGGAAGGTCCATTAGCTCTGGCTCAGGCACAGAGGTGTCCTTGTCCCCCTCCTTGGAGCAGACTTGCGTGAAGTGGATGACTGGGGTCCCTTTGTAGTGGGCAGGTGAGTCGCATTTGACACTTTCTGCATCATTCTCCACCTTTGTCTTATCCAGTCCTTCCTCCTGATAGTAGATGCTGGGCTCGTTCTCGGTGATCCAGTCCCGTAGGTAGGCCAGGCTGCAGTCGCAGTGCCAGGGGTTCTTGTCCAGGAAGATATAAGGGAAGAGCCGATCTTCAGGGAAGAAGCCAGTGGGCACAGTACGGAGACGGTTCCCCGACAGCCTCAGGGTCTCCAGTGCCCCCAACTTAGTCAGCAGCCCCAGTGGCAGCTCCTCCAGGGCATTGTTGGACAAGTCCAGGTCTCGCAGCACAGCCAGACCCGCAAAGGTGTCCTCGGGCAGCCTTTGCAGCTGGTTCCCCTTCAGCTCCAACTCCTCCAATTTCCCCAGGGATCGGAAGGCCTTGGGAGCAAGGTCCTTGATGCTGTTGTGAGCCAGGCCCAGGTGGAGAAGGGCAGGCAGGCCCTGCAGCAGGGGCAAGGCTCCCAGAGCATTGTGAGACAGAATGAGCTCCTGAAGCAGGGGCAAAGGTGGCCCAGCGTGGAATGATTTCAAGCCATTGTGTGACAAGTCCAGGCCAACCAGCATAGGAAGGTACTGGAAGGAGCTGGTGGAGACAGATGTTAGGTGGTTGGAACCAAGTAGAAGGATGCCGATGTCTGTGGACAGGTTGGAGGGCACCGTGCTGAGCCCCAGCCAAGTGCAGTTGGCCTGGAGATGGTCTTTGATCTGGTTCATCTCGATCTGACACACCTCCCCTGGGTCCACAGCACTGGCCACAGAGACCAGGGCCAGGAGGGCCAGACGGGCAAGGGCAGGGGGCAGCATGGGCTGGGAAGAGAGAAACAGCACACTCAGGGAAGGAGCACACACACAGATACGGTCTGCCTGAACCCATTGTGGACTGCGGCAGGATCCAACGGGCCTTTTCTGAAGCTCAGCCCAGCAGGTCTTTTTCTCTCACATCTCTACCATGGCCAGGATGGCCCTGGATCTCGCACTGCCCCAACTACACTTTTTTTCTTTTTTACGCACACACACACACATGCATACATATATGAAAATTTTTCATGTTCCAGGTCAAATGAGCCAGATCAGTTCCAAATCTTTTGAATCATTCAAAAACCATACATGGCCCTACTACCAGCAAGTATCCTCCACCTCGGACTTTTCAGTCAGGGGTTTAGATACTTCCAAATCCTTTGGCGGGCATCCTACATGCAGGCCCAAGCCCAGAGGCTTGGGGTTTGGATGACCCCGAGTTTCCCTTGCCCTCAGCCATATGGCCTCAGAAGCAAGCTAGGGAGGAGTCTCCCATTTCCATAAAGTTGGCATGTAGCCAAGATCCTCCCACTGGAAGCTGGCCAGTGGAAAGCTAACTATGAGGCTCTTGTAGGGAGTCCTGTCTACATTTGGACAAGGGTGCCTCCTCTACTACACAGTGATATATTTTAAATGCATTTCAGCTTGGGTTTCAGACCAGTGCACTACACTTGATCTTAGCCCACAAGAGGCTGAGTGTCACAGCAATGTCAAGCTCCCCTGAGCACACACTGGCTCCAAAAATGACTGGGTCCTTAGTGCCCCTGCCCTTGCTCCTGCCAGGAGCAGTGAAGAGGTTAACTAACTCCAGGCTGACTGTACTGGGGAGCCACCTCCACTAACTCAAGATGATGGTGCCACTAGGTCAAAACCTCCCTCCTGATTTGCCTTGGTGCCAATGACAAGGAGTCTTTGACCTGGCAGCACCTCGTCCCCACTTTCCAGGTCACTCTCAGCATTTTTGAACAACCCCCCTGTACCTCCATCTGCCCAAATACGCTTTGCTCCTCTCCCCTTTTGCTGGTGATGCTCAGTCCAGCCAGGAGAAACTGTTCTGCCCCACATAGTGACGCCCATCCTGGATTTGCCTGCCACTGCTGCTGAGCACCTCCTCCAGTGCTGCATTGGGGGGGCGGGCGGGATACAGTGAGCCCCCCACCCCCTCTAGCATGCCATGCAGGCCCTCTGTACAAGTGGCTGCCCCACCCAGAAACAGGTGCATCAGTGCTTGCCCCTCTGATAGGTTCACTCTTCCCCCTGGACTCACCCGTGGGCTCTGATGAGGTCACTCTCCCTGCTTTGCCACCTGCGCTCTCAGCTGTGGAGTGAGTTGCTGTGCTGACTGTGCCAGGACTAGTTGTGCCCAGTTCTGCTATCGGCATCCGCAGCTGCTGGGGATGGAGCTGTGGTTTCCTCTGACTTCCAAACCAGACCCTGTTA